GGTAGTAACAGAGTGTGGTAGTAACAGAGTGTGGTAGTAACAGAGTGTGGTAGTAACAGAGTGTGGTAGTAACAGAGTGTGGTAGTAGCTGAGATGAACCTGCAGTTGATCCTCTGAGCTCTAACAGAATGTCTTCCATCTTTGTTTAAAACTCCGTCACAAGCGGTGGGAGACGATGTAATGTTTTTTTATTCTTTACAAATCAAATATGACTCGTGTTTTATTTAAACTATAATTTACATAAAACATCTCATTCTGAGAACCTAAAGCAACAAGTTAAAAACCCGTAATGACAGTAATTTTTAGACGTGTGTCTGAACAAACAGGACTAACGTAACAGTGACAGGCTGTAATTCAGTCAGAACACACACAGATGTGATGTAAACACAAACATGTCTTCAGATGGACAAAAGAAGCTGTGAAAGGAGCGCAGGAGAAAAGAGGGCAGGAGTGCTGAAATCTGCATGTTCTTTCTGCAGAATCAAGAAGTGGAGCAGGAGGAGCGCACGGCTGAGGTTCTGGTGCTGGATGAGGGTTTCTGTGCTGAACAGAACCCGTCTGACTTCAAGGAAAATCACTTCAACATTTCCATAAAGACGAGCTTCAACTGGAGCCACAGCAGAACTGTGTTCCCTGCTTTGTAAGAAGCTKAGGTTTATTGTTAGCAAAATMCCTCATGAACCWCTTTAGATCAAACATAAAACATGATTTATGAGGTTTGAGTCAAACAGACAAGTACAAGTACTACAGTACAACTCCATCATTATTTAAATCATGATAAAATCACACAGTAATGAATAAAAAGTTTATTCTGCACCTTTTGCATGGAATATGTTGCAGAATGATTGGAAATGAACAAACTTAACTTTTAGGAGCTTTAAAAATAAATACTGAAGGGATTCATATGTTTTCTTATCTTTTCCTTTAAATGTGTTTCATGTTTTTATGATTCTTATTTCCTTTTTGTATTTGAATATGTAAATATACTCAACAAAACAACACGGTAGATAACAGTTAATAAAAAACTGTCAACTAGTTC